AAAAGCAAGACAAGGGACTTTTGTTGGTATTGCTTTAGATATGAGAATGTAGCCTTTTTGATAAAAACAAAACAAAAAAAACAACAACCATGTCATAGAGTTTGTTAGGTTTCCTAAGACCAATTTCTTTTTTTCCTTTTTTTGCCATCGAATCAAACGATTAACATGTTATCCCTACATAGCGCAGAAGCACAGAAATGCAATGCGACGCAATGGACGCCTTTCTAGTCAACGCCATAACTGCGATGGATGTAAAGGGACATTCACACGAGTTGACAAATTGTACCTTTTCTGTCTTGTTGTGTTGCGACAACCAATCAGGAAGTAGATGTGGCTGCGTAGAGGGTTAAGGTTGTGCAGCAGAGACAAACTTTATTTTAGTCCAACTGAAGACAGATAAAATAATGTTGACATAGGATGAAGTATGGAATGCTTTGAAAGGGTTGGTAAGTGGCTTCTAAAAAAGCCTTTTAAATTTAGCTCTTAAAAAAGCTCCAGTCATGAGAGAATTTTTAGATTGGGCTGAATTGTAGCCTCATCGCACGTTGTGCATCATGTAGTTTACAGGGGGTAACGATGGGCGTTCAGCCTCTCACGACCACCTACCGATCAGGATAAAAGTTCGGGAGAAAATCAAAAAGTTTTGAAATTCATTCAGCCATCGTAAGATTGCATCAGAGCGTCGGTTGCACAGTGTGAGAACATGCATCGTGAGCTTTCAACTTTTAAACCCTGCAGTTTTGTTGCATTGTTTGCATTGTAGCTACATGCAATGATTAAAAATATCCCACAGTGTATGTCCTGCTTTAGCTCTAGAGCTGGCCCCGGCAGCCACTGCCTCTCTTCTGCTGTGGCAGTCTCTCTACCCAATATATCGGTGTCCTCCTTTTAACTCCCGCTGTTAGGTTCCTTTGTTCCAGGGTGGGGCACGGCCGGCCTCCTCTGCCTTGTCCTATGGCACCTTTGTTTTTTATTGTGGTGGTTGATCTAGTCTACAGCCTTTACTGTCTAAGCTCCAGAGTGGCTCATTGTAGAAGCTCCCGGAGGAGGTGATGGTGCTCTACAAACTAGTTCTGTCTCGGTAGAATCTAGTGAATCCACAAATATAGACACAGGTGGTTTATTTGGCTTTCCAAAGATAATTTGGGTTCCCCATGTTTGGTGGAACCAGCAAGTAGCAGATTTAATGAGGCAATGGAGCTGGACGTTGCACCTAAAAGAGACAAATTTGTTGCATGAATCATGTTTTTTGTTAATACACTTTAAGGCTACGTTCAAACTGTAGGTGTAATGCTCAATTGCAAATTCTTTTTCTGTAATCTCAGCTTTTTGTTTTGGTCTTTTTATGCTACTGACTGATCCGACAAATGTGGAAAACATTCAGGACATCCCTTAAAGAGCATGTAGACATCATACAGCATACAGCAGTGCACTGTTTACAGAAGTAATGATGGATGTCATAAAATTTGTTTAAAAAGCTTTTGAGCAATCAGACCTGACAGTATAATGGCCCCATCATTAACAAAGATGTAAGGTAAGAAAAAAAGGCATAACTTCTAACACTATCTGTGATACTCCTACTGTAGAGAAGTCTCTGTGGATGTGTAGTGACCGCCCCAGCAATGACGTTGGATAAAACACGGACTGCAGACACTTTCTGTATCTGATTTAGTACTGTAAAGGTACTCTGTGTTTACACATTAAAGCTGTCTCTCCCTGATTCGTTCCTGAGAAGAGATCACTTGGGAAAAACTCTTTAAATAGCATTTCTTAATCTGTATGTATTAAATACCCATTATACATTACAGCAGATTTTAATGAATTGTAATCCTATTCAGAGTGCAGAATTTGCTTAGGGTTATAGAAGTCAGCTCTTTCTAACCGGGCTTGCTTCTCATTGAAGAATCAAAGTTAAGTCTACATCATCATCACGTTTGTAAATGAGGAGACGTCCATGGCTCCAGCCTTATCAAAATATTACACTGTCCTTAAATCAAGAACTCACACTTAACTTAAAACAGACTCACACATCATCAATAAAAATATGTTTTTTGGGGGGTAAAATCAGAATCAGAATCAAGTTTATTGCCAAGTAGGTTTGCACTTACTAGGAATTTGACTTGGTGTTGTTGGTGCAGACAAAAAAACAAAACAAAATTTAAAAAGCATCAGAATTTGGATTTTCAGACTGCTGCAAAAAATTTGGAAATGAGTTATTTTATCTTCTGTCTGAATTTAGTTCATAGATTCTGCTATAGATCCTTCTGTTCTTTTTCCACTCTCTACATATACTCTATACATGGATGTCTAATAATGCTGTCCTCATGTCTTAACCATTAATCTGGAAATGTAATGCATGCTTGTTGAAATCTTCATGTTTACCAAGCAATCTGTCGCTGAATTATGTATCAGGTTTGGAATTGAGTTGAAGAATATTGTGACCAAAGCCAGAAAGACATCTAGCTCTGGTGGGTAAAGTCTCACACATGTCTAAATAGCAAGATGAAGTTGGAATAGTGAACTTTGGTTTTCTATCCATTTTAAAGGTGCAGTGGAGGATTTTCACAATTTTTTTTAAAAGATCTGCCTTCTCCACTTAAAAAAAACCCACATGCACAACCCTGTACCTGCTTCCGAGAAAGATCGCCTATTAAAAGTGTGCGAGAGCATGCACAAGCCCATTTCCTGTGCATGCATTCTTGTGCTGTTCTCATAGCTCATACAAGCTTACTGTGTCCCAACTCCGCCCCAACCCCTAAATCACTATATAGTGTGGGGACTATATAGTGGACTTATATATGTATAGTGAACTCAGTTAACCGACCTTTCGGACAGACGATCACTGCTTTTTGCTCCCTGTTGGTCACGTAACTCCTCCTACACCGCACAGTACCTGCGCCATCTTTGTTATTAGTCAACGCTGTCAGATGGCAACAGCCTATGGCGACAGTGAGCCGCTGTGACAGTGAATCCCATAATGCTTTGCGAGGAGAGCTCTCTGCACAAAGCAATCCCGGAAATATCTGCTTCTTCTGAGGCCTTTCTTTTCGTGTCATACACTTCCTAGACACTTTTCTCTTACGACCATCATTTTCATTGAAACATAGCTTACCACAGATATACGCCTGAAAGTGTGCATATGCAGAAAAAGTTGGATAACGGGACAAGCACGTAGGACGGCCTTACGTAAACATATCAGCAGAATGATGGAAAATTAGGAGGACCACTTATTTAGATGATCCACGATTAAAAAGAAAATCCTCCTCTATACCTTTAAGGTTTGAAATGTAATAGGTTGTCCAACAGTGGCTTTAATTAAAATGTATTTACTCTACCAGACCATGAGCAGACCTCATCCCCAGAGTTAAAAAAAGTTTTCTATAGTGGTTGAACATGTTCCCTAAATGTTAACAATTTTCTATGTGCAAGTTATTCTAAGTCGCCGCCTTACATAGAATTCATAACAGGTAGAGGTATATAAAAAATAAACAAAAGAGAGTGACATATGCAAATAAAAACAGACAGACATCAAAAAAAGTGTCATTCTAATTTTTCTAATGACCACTCTTGGCCTATCATCCAGAACGGCAGCAATCAGAAGCTCCTCGCAAGAGGTGTCAAAAAGCTGTTTGTGAGAGATTCAGTTTTTTATGTAAATAACAATAAATAATACACTCAGGCTTCATGACAGCACAGCTCTTCTGTGCTTACAAAATAAGAAAATCGAAAAAGCTGGAAGGCTCTTCAACCTTTAACATAACGGGAGGTTGTATTGCAAAGAAGAGCACATAACCTCCAAGATTTAAAGGAAGTTGATGTGGTTTCTGGTCTCCATTAGGAGGTGTGGGTTCAACTCCCACTCCTGATAGTGATGGGGATTTGGAAGAATGCTACAAGGAACTTTGGATCAATGCTGTAGACTTTGTTCAGGAGATATCCTCAAGTTTATTATTACCCAATACTCTTTCTTCCAAGTGTTTAGTAATTTTAAGAAAGCATTTTCAGTACTTATTCCCTGTTCACTCCTACCTTATTACTCATAATTTAGGCGCTTCCTTGTTTTGATTGCTTTGTATGTCTGCATTGATCAGCTGTTAGACATCTGGTGTGATTTTTCCTTTTAGAGCCTCATGAGAAATGTAGATATGGAGAAAGGAAATGTTGTGTTCAATACCTGTTTTCCCTGGTGTATGGCTAATCTTTTGATATTCACTTGGCTGTGGCTGTGCCTCTGCTTTTATCATAATGGTATGCTATGCTGCACATGTTACAAGCACCAAAAGAAGCTCTGATATGAACTGGCTACTCAGCGCTGCATCTCTTCTCTGATTGTATTCCTGATGAAAATCTCTGCGTGATAGCAATTCCCAGCCAAGAGAATGCGTCATGTATGCAAATTATTTGAGTTGTAGATTTGTAATGCGGCCAAAGAACATCATGCAGGTATAATTTTACATCCATATTTTTCTGATTTGTGTCCCATCATTGAGATGTTTCCTAAAATCAAGTAAAATATTTACATAATTCCATAAACTCTTTATAGGGCACTCATTAAAATACTTTGAAAATCAAAATTTCAAGCCAGTAGTGTTATTGGAATCAGGACAAGACCTTATTACCTTAGTAACATTAAAAACAGGGGTATTTTGATGGCAAAAACTAATATAAATGTAATAATAAGAAACAGCAACTTGCATGAATATATAGAGAAAAATAACAAAAGTGCTTCTATAAGAATTTTTTTTGTATAACATTTTCAGCTGTTTTATGTTAAAAAAGGGAGTTAAATTTTCTTTAATAGATGCATGCCGTGTAAGGAAAGAAAAAAGTTTAGTTTTCTTGTAAAAGCGGAACTGGATTATTTTCACCAACAAAGCTACAGAAAAAAATTATATAACTTTGTTTTTTTTCCTTTGCCCACTTCCTGTCCATCCATTGTTCTCTGATTTTCATAATATGTTTTTTTTTTTTCCTATTTTTACTCTTTTCTCTCCTAACAGTGGCGGGAAAGCCCTTTTTTGTTGTGTCCAGCTTCTCCCACCGCTGGTTGTTCGGCTGGGAGGGCTGTCAGTTCTACGGCTGGGCGGGCTTCTTCTTCGGCTGTGGGAGTCTCATCACCATGACTGTAGTGAGCCTGGACCGCTACCTGAAGATCTGCCATCTCCGATATGGTGTGTATATAACTGTTATAACTGTTTTTGGGGTGAACTGAATCGTTCATTGCATTTCCAGTGTGGTTAGAACTTCAGGAGAAACTAATAGCATCAATTTTATCCTGATTAATCAGGATAAACAATTAAGGGGCATTCAATTTTACTGTAAAGATCAGCTATATTTAGCATATGAAAAAAATCAATAAACAAACAGAGACTTCTATGCAATAGTTATGCCACCCTGGCACAATTAAATGCTGAACTTTATCACCATCATGTACTAGAGCAGAGGTCACGGATTAGCGGACCGCGGTCTGGATCCGGACCCACATGCAGGCTAATCCAGACCCAACCTGATTTAAAACACTTATATATTATAAGTTTATATATTATATATTATTATATTACAGCATTACAGCTAATTTCACTTGCGCCGATTCTCCTGTTAATATGGTGAAGCCATCCAGAGCGACCAGGACCAGGCTACACGTGATACAAATGATCCAATGAGCTGCTGTCAGTCTGGGTTGCTGCTGCTGCTACTTTTAGATGCAGCAGGCAAACCTGTGGCAAGCCGGGCGATGGGAAAGAAGGAGAAGACGATGAGAAAAAGAGAGCAGAGAAAGTGTGGATTGCGTAAACAAATGCGGTTAATTTGTGACAGAAAAGTGAAATGGCATGCTTATAGATGATCCTGCACATTTTGAGTATGTTTGGCTCAGCCTGTTGCTGTGAAGCAGGATTCTCCACCATGAACAGAATCAATCTCATTAAGACAGACAAAAAGAAAGAAAAAAAAAAATAGCGGTCAAAAATAGCGGTCAGTTCAGGTGTTTTATAAAATATGTGAATCAGGGAATTGTCTATATACCAAACTGAACGATTGTTGTTCTCTACTTCAAAAAACACTTTAGATTTTAAAATTGAATTTTTTTTTTTATTTTCTTTAATATTTTTTATTTTAAAAAAATTCAATGTATAACATGGAAGCATAAAAAACTCATTTTATTTCCGTGTTAAATTCTGTTTAAAGTAATGGATTATAATTAAAATAGTCTCTGGGCTTTTACTAGTCGATGATTTTCTTTATTCGGACCCCTCTGATTTTCAATTAGTTACCCCTGTACTGGAGGTTTTTAGAACAGAATTATAAAGAAAGTGTCAGACAATACAAAGACATAAAAGGTCTTATTTAATTTTATTTAAACTACTCTTAAAACATTTAAGATTCACCAGTGTAGATTTTTTCAATATGGCAGCACACGACGAGAGATGGGAAACTTCGGAATGCAGCTTTAGCCTGAGATTGTGTCTCCTGGCTGTTTGTTAACAGCCGACAAAGCAGTATCATAATGTAAATGAATGAGTTAATATCAGGTTTTAATTTCTCGGAAAAGCGCGATCACAGCTCTATATTTATATTTTGTGAAAATGATAACAGGATTAAAATTCAACATTTCATGTCAAAGGGGTTAAAAGTGGACACACATTTATTCAGTTTAGTGTTTTTTATAACATTTGTGTTGGGTTTTGGAGGTTTTGTATGGTAATATTGTTTACATTTTCTTCTTTTTCCAGGCACATGGTTAAAACGCCAGCACACCTTTATATGCTTGGCCTTTGTATGGGCGTATGCTGCCTTCTGGGCCACCATGCCACTGGTTGGCTGGGGCCACTATGCTCCAGAGCCCTTTGGAACCTCATGCACCCTGGACTGGTGGCTCGCACAAGCCTCTGTGTCAGGCCAAAGCTTTGTAATGGCTATCCTGTTCTTCTGCCTCATCCTCCCTGCTGGCATAATTGTCTTCTCCTATGTCATGATCATTTTTAAAGTGAAGTCATCTTCGAGGGAAATTTCACACTACGATGCCCGCATCAGAAACAACCACCACCTCGAGATGAAACTCACAAAGGTGAGCTGTAAGAAGTGAATTTTGTTCCATTATTGTTGCAGCAGGGAAACAGTTTTTTTAATGGAAATGTAAAAAATATGCAATCCAGAAATTAAACTGAAAAGAGCTTAATCAAAATAAGGTTTTGAGAGTTACATTTTATAGATGACATTCACTTTGCTTCAAACCAAATAAAAATGCACGCTGTTGATCTATAGAAATGTTTTTGCTAACCTCCATACAGACCAATTGAAATGCATCTTTAACCCTTACTACAAAGCAAAGCCCGCCCACGGAAGTGAAGAGAAAGTGATCTGTAGAAACCCAGTCTGAGAAACAGAAATAAGAAGAAAATTTAAAGTACATTTGAAAAAATGTACTTTAAAAAAGTAAAGAGGATACTTGTAAAAAATAAAACTATTAGAAAAACAAAATGTATCTAATAACATATAAAAATTGCTAAATTAATATCTAACATTGGGAAGAAAATGAAATAATTGTTGAAAATTTTTTTTATTTTTTCTTCAAATTTGTTCTTTTTGGATAGATTTTTTATTTTATTTCCATTTACAAAGTTTGTGCATTGACTTCAACAATAATGGATAACTTTCACTCTATAAAGTTGGATAAGAAAGGAACATGTTTGTGAATGTAACAGGTCGATATTAGAAACTACTAGAGTGAGACACGAAGACAAAAGTAGCAAAACAAATAAACCTTTATTTGTGTTCAGAAATATAAAACAATGTAAAAGTTCAGTCTGAATCCTGGTTTGTTTCATTTCAGGTGGCAATGCTGATTTGTGCAGGCTTTTTGATTGCCTGGATTCCCTACGCCGTGGTTTCAGTGGTGTCAGCGTTTGGGGAGCCAGACTCCGTACCCATCCCCGTGTCTGTCATTCCCACATTGCTAGCCAAGTCCTCAGCGATGTACAATCCAATCATCTACCAACTTGTGGATCTGAAAAATTCCTGCTCATCCTGCTGTATCAAGGTCATGAAGAAACGGAGGCATTTCAGGAAGTCAAGGTAAAACTTGTTCACCTTAGTTTAGCTATTTTAATTATGTTATAGGGTTCTGACTTTGTTTGTTGGCATTAATCCCTTTGGTACAGTCTATTATACTGCATAGAAAGAATTAAGAGTTTTATTCTGCATATCCTAATGCTTTAGGTATTCTATTTTCTTTTTCATGTGTAAACAGTTCTAGCTCAAACAGAAGTGTCGTATCCCTTTTATTATAACAAAACAAAGGTTCTCTATAATTACTGGTGAGCTCTGCTTCTGCTCATTCACACTGTAGGTACATTTTTGAAAGTCACACGTCAACCACATTCATATGTGGTCCTGAATCCAACTCGAATCTAAACTTTGGAAATGTGATGTCAATATTGGGGGTGAGTTTACTTGAGGACCCAATTGCAGAAATGAGTGAGGCAGAGATTAGTTCTTGTAGGTTTAATGAAGAAGAACATCCAAAAACACAAAATTAATAAGAACCAAAAACCAGCAACTAGTGATGGTTCCAGTAATACCGATGCATCGGTGCATGCATCGGGCCCATAGAGCAAAACAAAGTATCGGTGTGCATGTTATTTCAAGAAAATCATTTGAATGACTGTGAAGAAGTTGTTTCTAACTGACTGACACACTTAAAGGAATAGTACACCCAAAACATGATTAGCCTTCATTTTCTACTCACCCCCATGCTGAACAACACTCTGGAGTACTTTTTTGATATCTCAAATGCATCTGGAGATCTGGGAGGCTTCTTGCTGTCTGCTGACATTCAAATAATGGAGGTCTATGGTGCCCGAGGCAGAAAGGTCCATAAAAGTCCACAAAAAACGTGTCAATATTCCTCCATACTGCTCGTCCAATGTATTCCAAGTGTCCTGAGTGGGTAGCATCCAGAATTTACTCGAAACGAAGTCATTTAGAATGTTTTTAGAGCATAAACAGTAGTGTATAGGATTTCCTGAAAGCGCGTTCACGAGTCTACGGAAGCCGGCAGACCAAACCAGATGAAAGTGTGCATTCAGCGTCTGCTCTGCCGATAATGCAAGCGTAGAAGAAGAAATGTGCTGTTTACCTGTGCAAAGAAAGAAACAACGAAAGAAAAATGTCTGAGGACTTCAGTGTTGAGGAAGACCATGAGTTCTTTGCTGAGCTGAATGCGCACTTTCATCTGGTTTGGTCTGCCGCGGTTTCCGTAGCGTCGTAAACTCGCAGGCGCACGCTTGTGTATATTTATTATATTGGATGGATATTTATTATGTAAACAACATAATAAATATCCATCCATCTTCTCACGCTTATTCCATTCTAAACAAAATTACATTCTTCACATCCAAATGAAACATTCTGGATGTCTAGACATTCATTTCAGATCTCAATATTCTTAATATTACTGGTCAGCCTTTGTATTATTTTAACTATGAAGAAATGTATTCAAGATATCATAAATACATATTCAATCAAGTTGATAAATGTCTAAACTTTGGTCAGCTGGCATGACTCTGAGTCATGGTGTTTATGTCACACGTGACTCCATTAGCTCCAAAATCCTTTTACCCAAACCACAAGGAAATAATTATATTATTATACTATTTAAACATTATTGAACAATTCTCCACACCCATTACACAAAGTATACAAGATCAAAATAAATCTAAAATACTATGGTTACATTAAACTGCATGAATACATATTAAAGTGCGTGTCGGCACCACGCTCTTACTTTGAGCTACAGGCAGTGTGCCCTGGTTGCAGGTGTCCAAATGTTGAGGTGTGCTCTGGGGTCGTGGAGATTTAGGCCGATTCCCAATTCACTAGAACGCGAGTACGGACTTCTGTTCTCACCAAGTATGTTCTTGAGAAGAACACAGGAAAGTGTGGACCTGGGGAGAACGGGAGCACGCAGCATAAATATGGGTCAATTGGAACAGAAGCCTAGTCATGACATCACCACATGCCCGGCTCGTCTGGAGCTGCATTTCTCCTCTTGTTATTAATGGTCTCTAGATAATAACAAATTCTAACTTTTTTTCATTTAGTAAGGGAATAATAATTAACACAGTCAGATAAACAAATATCAGATGAACATTTGACCAAATACAATCAAAAAATCGCTATCAGAGCCAGCGGTCCTTCACACACAGCTAGGCCAGTAGAGGGCTGCTGCAGACGGGCTAAAGTTAGATCTGGCTGCCGTTACTCTCGGAGCTCCACTGGTTGCCGCGGTCCTCTCAACTTCGGAAAAGCTTTTTTAATTACGCATTAAATTGGTAAATGGGCCATATAGTGATGCTTAAAAGTATAATGTTCTCGCCTCAAACGTACTTTTATTGAACAACAGCAACAGAAAAGAGAACTTGTAGCTTAATACTGAAAGCTGCCACAGTGCCTGCTGGGACAGCTGTCAATATCAATTACGGACAAGTAAGCTCTTATGGTTACTCGCTAAATAGGGAGAGGCGATAACAACATTTGGGGACTTTGTTCTCGGTTTGCTATTCTTGTGAATTGGAACAGTACTAGGGCTGAGGCTCATGACGTTTCACGAGTACACAAGCACATGAGAACACACAAGTACACATATTGAGAAAAGGTCTCTCATGAGTGGACGAATACGAGATGTGTTTCTGTTTCATATTTCCTCCTCGTTTCTGTGATTAGACTAAGTAAATTTACTAGTTACTAGTCTGACAACGTAACTTCCTTGCACTTGTTTTGATTAGGCCCTCAAAATAATTAAATTAAAATCCAAATAAATGTGATAGTAAAATAAAAAAAAAAGTCAAAACCATTTCCCAAAATATGCATAAGAAATTTATAAATTGTGCAAAGTATTTTTAATACATTTTTTTTAAAATCTCCCTATCACCACTATGGCATGCTGCGGCATCCCCACTTTCTGCGGCCATGTATTGACTTGTTATGTTTTTGGCCTGAGTGGATTTAACTTACTCTAGTTTGTTTTTGTTTGCCCAAATACATTTGAGTGTGTTAGTATTAGTTTTATTGTGTGCGTCTGTTAAACCCCAATATTACCTGCCTGTTATTTGTCTAAACTAATGTCTTTTCAAGCAGTTTATCTAATCTAATCATGTTCATTATGTACATAACAGAGATTTGGAAATGAAATGAAAGTGTATGGACTTATATACATATATATTATGAAGTGTTATTCAAAGAGTTTTTTCCTGAGTGATTTCTTCTCAGGAAAGAATCAGGAAGAGAAAGGTTAATAGTGTGAACACTGAGCTTTCTATTACAAAGTGTTTTTTCTGCCCTTTTAATTTGATTAAAGAGTAGTGTGTTTGGTTTTATGAAACCTTTTATTTTTGTAATAAACCCTGTTAAATTCAACCTCTCCTTCTGGGTATATTCTGATGATGCCACCCCCTAATTCTCAACTCCGGGGTCATTACATAAGCCTCAAAACAACCTTGCACGGCTTCTTCAGCTACATTTAACAATCTTTTTCTCTTTTGTACAGATTGCCTGTTATAAATGGTCTTTTAGTATGAACAATGAAAAACAATATTTAAATTGGGAAATAATAAGGACAAAACCCACATACCAACAGTTTAGTATCTGTCCTTCAAAGTAACATGTCCTGGATGATAAAAGTCTGTTGTTCACAAACACTACTTACCCACCTCCCTTGAGTTTTCAAGCTACCTATTTAAATCTCTGGCTGTTTCTCAATTCACAATACGGAAACTACAGACTTGCGTCCTCACCAAGTATGTTCTTGAGAAGAACAGGAAAGTGTGGACTTGGGGAGAACGAGAGCACGCAGCATAAATATGGGTCAATTGGAACAGAAGCGTACTGATGACGTCACCACATGCTCCGCTCGTCTGGAGCTGAATTTAACCTCCTGTTATCAATAGTCTCTAGATAATGATAAATTCTTACGTTTTTCCTTTATTGAGTGAATGATAATTAACACAGTCAGATAAACACAAATCAAATAAACATTTTGCCAAATAAAACAAGAAAACTTGCTACCAGAGCCACACACAGCTATGCAGAGAGAGGGCTGCTGCAGACAGGCTGCGGTTAGCCCTGGCTGAAGTTGCCCTCAGAGATCCACTGATTACAGCGGTCCTCTCAATTTTGGAATTTATTTTCTAATTAAGCACTAAATCAGTACATGGGCAATACAGTGACGCTTAAAAGTATAATGTTCACGCCTCAAATTGTCTTAAAAATTTATTTTTTTTTAACAACAGCAACAGAAACTTAATACCCTGATGTCTGTGAGACAGCTGTCAATCTCAAGAACAGACAAGTCTATTCTGATGCATGCTGGGTAAAGTGGGAGGCATGAGAACAACATCCGGGAACTTTGTCCGCTCTCAGTCTTCTTGTTCTTGTGAATTGGCACAGTACTAGGGCTGAGGCTGATTATGTTTTTCAAGCACAGGAGAACGCACAATTACACATATTGAAATGGCCCCTGTCTGCTCATATGGTTCTGCAGCCAAATTTCAATAAAACAAATATTACAGTATTGTCAATATGCTGACTGGGTACCAACTAGGACTCAAAGTTCTCCAAAATTGTTCCTAAAGACCTCAGATTTAGTGTAATGATCAGTGGAAGACATGGATTAAATTTCTCGCTCGTCTCCTTGCTCCTGTTCTGCATACTCAGTGTGTCCTTTTCGACTTAGCTGGTACGTTCAGAAGTGTTAGTCACCTTCTGAAATGTTAATGAGCTGCTTACAGGTAAAAAATTGCTATAGTTACACATCAGAGCAAATATAAAAAAAAAAAAACAAGAGACTGCCTAAAATCCAACCAGCTTCACAGCAACACCTAAGACAAAAAGAAAGAAAGAAAAAGCAGAGAAAGAGTCAGATCCTCAAACAGATTAACTTAAGTAATGTTCAGTATGATTTTATATCCATGTGTTTATGTTGTTTTATATTTTTACCTTTCCCAGGTATCTATAGGCCAATATTAAAGTTAGACTTTATTGTTGAGATATGTAGATTTCTCCAATAAAAAGCCAATTAAGAATATTTAAATTCTGTTCAAAATCTGAGTTTACATTATATTTTAGTAGCTTTCAAAATCTTTTCCTTTAATCACACTTGGGCACTGAAAGCTTATTTATTCCTGTTTATACATGCATGTCTTATGTTCACAAAAAAAAAAAAATCACAGTGCAATGGCCTTTTGATAGTATGAAAACTGTATTTTGAATATGAACCTAGGAGGGCACAGATAGGGGTGTAAATCACATCCATCATGGCGATTCGATTCAGTATCGATTTCTTGACCCAACGATTTGATTATTTTCGATACTCAAGAATACACCACGATTCTATTTTATTCGATTAATCGGTTAATCTTTTTTTTTTTTTTTACACCTTACAGGCTAAACAAAGTTTCAAGTTTGAAATAAATCAATGAAAGCTGTAATATCGTTATGCATTTTTTTTTTTTGAAACAACAGCAAATAACAGAAGTAGAAAAGTTGCATGAAAAAATACAGCAAAAATACTGCACATAATCAGTGCAATGAGTACAATGCAATACCTCGGCTCCAGACGTCCCCACCCCCTTGAGAGACGCTCCGCTGCACCTCTCCCAAATTGTAGCTGACCGTAAACAAGAGGCCGGCTTGTTTTGTTTTTATGACCAAAATTGAGGAAAACAACTCGTGAAGTTTTACCCGCTAGAAGAGCGAGGTGCGTGAGAACGCTGGGACCCTTTTTCCACCTGGATCTCCACTCTTTTTTGCCCTCATGTGCCCGCACTTCCTCGCCGCCTCGGCCGTATCTAGACCCACAGTGTTTAGTGCAGACCGCGCTTCAATATTGAGCATAATTTCAAAATGTCTGTGTCAAGCTTACTGCAACACACTGCTGTAAGAGTATAACCAGGAAACGAGTTAGGAGGGCAAAATAAATTTAGCGCCACCGCAGCACTGGAGGGAGAATTACATCCAGGAGCAAATGGATAAAAATAGACCGGAGGGGGAAAAAAAACATGAATCGATTCTCTTGCGGATGTGTCGATGCATCGGATCGTCGGCTGTTGGATCGATGCATCGATACAAAACGATTATTATTTGCACCCCTAGGCACAGACATGAATGATCTATACTTTAAACTTAGATATACAGGCAGTCCTTTACCTCTTCTGTGCAATGCAAAAACTACCTAGAAATAAGTTAAAAAATTCTTAAATTAAGTAATTGTAGACTTAATTTGAGCAGGTAAATAACATGATTTGCCAATGGAATGAGTATGTGTACTCATGAAATAAGATAATTAGATAATATGCACTTGTTATACGTCAAAGCAATTGTTTTTTCCTATTTTAAATGGTAATTGTCTTGTTCCATTGGCAAAGTGTGTCACTTACCTCCTCAATTCAAGAAAAAAATGCACTAAGAAAAAGTGACTTATTTAGATTTCAGTTTTTTGCAGTGTGCTGTTTGTTTTGACTTGGGAATAGCACAGCCCTATCACAGTGTACCAGGGACATGTGAAAGACGTGGCCTTTCTTATTTTTCCTGTTTCAGAGAATTGAGTGATTAGAATGTTTGTTTTAGATGGCTGACAAGATCCTGAGCATATATTTTTTAATAATGTATTTTATGAATAATGAATATCTGTATTTGTTGACTGGTTACTCATAATGGCAATGAAAATGTTTCATTATATCGTACAATGTCCATGTTCTTGCAGGTTATACACAATCTCGGGCTCAGTGAAGGACACAGCACCGGCCAAAGAAGCTCACATTGAGATGTAAAGCAAACAGTTGAGACTGTGTGATCTTTACCTGTTGTACCATGGACATCTTGCCTTGTTCCCCGCCTGCTGTGCCCTATACCTAACCGATCACATGCTGCCTGCAGTCACATCATCTTCTGCTCACCTTTGCTGCTGGTTCCTGGATATTGCAGCTCCCTTTCCTCACTGAATACCAACCCTTTACGTAGCTTGCTACCTCCTTGTGATTATACTACTTTATCCTCACAAGGACTTCCTATATCTGTAGTGTACACTGGTTTAAACATACAGATCACATGTTGTGTAAACATTTTGATTTTTCACCTCCAGTATTAGACTTTGCAATAAAATGCCTGACACAGGAATGGGAAATTGAGAGTTTTCCAATACAAGTCACAATTTAAGTTAAAATGTCTTTGTATAAAATGTAGTGACAAATCAATAATTTGGCATGTTTGACATTTTTAGCTGAACTGGAAATTACAATTTCAAAGAAAAAACTATTATTATGTTATTATTTTTTGCTGTTTGTACAGGCTGTTGGTGTTTGTAGTTTTACACTTGTGTGTTTTGGTGAATTTATATGTATTGGACAAAGCACTGGATCACATTATCTCACTAGTAAAGGGCACTGACAGAGAGATCTTTCAATTATTTGGGTACTGGAAATCCATACCACAAAAAGTTGAGCATATATTGTTTGACAGCATTGATAAAAAAAAGACATGAGGTCAATAATTCAATGTATAGCTATTTCCAAGAAAACACATAAACAGTATAAAAGCACTTTATTTTGCAAACCATTCAGAATGCACTGATGATTGTTGTCATAGTTTTGTATCTGGTCAATTGTTGCAGAAAATGGTTGCATTAATCTAAAGACAACAAAATACATAAATTCCTACAAGAACATACAATTCAAGAAAGAGTTAAAGTTAATTCAGGGATGACTAAAATGTATTTATTTTTGCTATATATTTTCTAGTTTTTTTGGGGTGGGGTGGGGCCATATCTCTAAGAATGAAAGTTTTTGTCTTTTCTTTCATAATCCACAAAGTGTGCATTTCTGTTTTGCCAAGAGTTTGTGTGGTATAAACTGAGCAATACCTTTGTTTGGGTATTTCTTCATTTCGAAATTGCTTTTAAGTAATGAATCTTCCGTGTTTTAAAGTGTATCTATTTCCTCATAAACAGTTCCACATTGTAAGGAAAATGTATCAGTTCGTTGAGGAGCGGACTTGAGTATGTAGGTGTTGCCCATTAAAAACTCACCAAAGCAAAACAATATTCTTTCAGTTATGGGCTCTTCTTCGATGCCTTTATTGAATTAGATGATTTAACTTTATTGATATAACACATATAGGCCATCTATCAATTTGTCAGTCAGTGTTGTTTTCGTCAACGATGAGGATGAAGAAATTATTTTGTTGACACTCTAACTGACGAGCTAAACATGCTTTGTTGACGAAAGCTTCAGGGTTATGAGTGTGAGTTTTGGTTAAAGAGACAAGACAAAAAATTAGCGGGTTAGATATTTAAACTGCATCATCGTGCGGTAATCTGCTAAGTAGTATCAGCCGTGCAGCAGTGCACATTCTGCATGACCACAAATGGATCATGGCAGCAGCGGCAGGATGAAAATAATCCAGAATGGTTTGGGTACTACGCGCCAAACTCAGCTTGTGTAGAATTGCGTCTTTGCGTGTGCTTAGATTAGACTCTGTGCTTTACACTCCACACAAATGGTTCGCTTTCAGCAGTATGGCTATTCCTGCTCTCACTACTCAATAAACTGTATGTGGCTGATCATCCTCTAACCAATGTAAAAATCCCTTGGTCTAACTATAAAGATTAAATTTTTTCCAGTTCACGAGAGGTGATACCAAACATTCTTTAAGTTCTTTTAAAAGGAATCCCTAAATTATATCCAAAGAAAATATTTCATTGAATACTGTTTATTTTTTGATAAAGACCCAGGTGAAAAGGTGTATGGATCTTTGTTTATTTCTCTCTCATATTTCTCTTTCTATCTATTTAAATATGATGTAAATGTTTCTTTGTATTTAATTAAAAAGTTTTCTTTGTTTCCTTTAAATATTTCAACATTTTATTTAGCACACTCATTCAATTTTGGTCTGGATTGCCATGGCATTACAAGGCAATTATGTAGGTTCTCTCTGTATTTCTTCCCCCTGTGAATTAAAATCTTCTTTGACCCCTGAGGGGCAAAATTCTCAGAAAAAAAAAAAAATTACCAAAGTAGGAAGAAGAATATTTTTGTTTTTTGGAGCAATGAAGATTTTATTGATCTGTGTGTAATGCATAATTCATAGTAGATCAGGAAGTATTTGCTTTGGGATGGAAAACTTGTATGTCTAAAAAGCATTCCTTTATTGTACATTTTGTCATTCTTTTGTATGAAGTAGGGTATTATTAATTAAAATTTGAGTTCTATAAATCAAATTTTTCTGCCCAAGAGCAATGATGAACTCCACAGCAGCATTCTATTTCCAGCAATTGTAATATCTAGGCGAGAGCTCTTAGTCTGGTAAAGAATCTGGTTGTTAATCGAAATTGTAAAGGTTCACCTTTTCTGCAACAGAAAATTGACTAAAACCTTTTTAAGTTTTAGTCTACTGAAACCGACTAAAATCATCACATATCACAATGAATAAAATGTGGCTAAGACTAATAATAGTTTTTGTCCTGAAGGCAAGGACTAAATCTAAGATGGCTGCCAAAAACAACACTGTTATCAGTTTAACAAACTTGGGCCATGTCAGAATGTTTTGGTTCATCTAGCATAACCTTTCAATAAGGCTGAAGTCAAGACTGAACATAGGTGTCGGATAACCTAAATTCTATGAGGGTAGGTACTGACATCTTTGAAGATGGAGATATTGACTTGGCAATGGTTAGAGAACTCCATTCCCACATCCCTGCAATTGTTTTTCCTGCAATGATACCAAGGATTGTTGTCACATATTAAACCAACCCATATTTATTAAACTACTTCCTCGAAATCCTGTCTGACATTGGCTAATACAATTCAGGGAGTAGGGCTCAGGGGCTAGAAGACTAACTCGTCTGTTCATGAAGTTGTTTCCTAGTTTGTGAAGTGTTTCTGGAGTCTTCATATCAGAGACATTTGGTGCCATTTAAAGAGAAACAGACCTGCTTTCCACGCATTTAAAGGAAAAGTCTGGTCACATTCAGAATACAAACTTCTGAAAGTACTTTGAATATGGAATTATTACATACTTTCAATAAATAAAAGCGTTTTTGGTTAGGAGTAATTTCATTTGAATGTACTTTACTGAAGACATCCATGTTTGTCAAAGAGCAGTACTGCCACCAACAGGTTTTTGACGTCACAGTGCGCCATCGGCTGTTGAGCAAGTCCTAGTGCTGTATCTGGTGTTTGTCACAACAAAGGGGAAAGGTGAAATAAGAATTTTTTTTTTACTTTTACCTGACGTATTACAACATCCAACTGCCATGCACGTGGGAATTGTCCGTTTAACTATAGCTCTGGTGAATTTCAATGGTGAAGTCTTTATCTTAAGTAACTGTTGATTGCAGATGCGTCTAGTAGCTGCCACTGATTTTGCCTGTAAAGCAGGGAGAATGTCGCTAGGCTTACCGCACCGTGACGTCACTGCCGGAAAATGCCAGGAGTGAGTTGTTTTAATATTTGGGCGAAAATGGCCATTCATGGACTCAGTGATTGCAATGAAAAATATAATTTTTATTTTTTTACTGATTACTGTTAAATTCATTAAATAAACATATTAGTTTAAGTTATAGATAATAATCCATTGATCATTCCTTGCTGACCGAACTTTTCCTTCAAGATTTTTTCTAAGAGTCTTTGTTACATTTTGTACTAAAAACATTTATAACGCTCTATGTTCTGCTGCAAGACGGCTGGAAGCACTGGAAGTTTAGACAAAAAAAAAAGCCTATTTGCATTTGGGTGTCTGAGTCTTATTTTTTTAGGACAAAAAGTGAAGGTAGAAAGGAAAGAATAAAAATTACCTTGATTAGAAAGTTGTGCTAGAATGTCATGTACATTTCATATCGTTATTTTCCATTAAGTATATCTGTTTATCTGTGCGGAATCAAATTATTTTTAAGCTGAACCTTTACAATTTCGTGATGTAAGGAAATTTGTTGAATTGTTCTGATCAAAAGGTACTAAACACAGATGCATACAACAATTTACTACCACACGCAATAACAGATGTGAAATTAAGATTTTAGTTGTAATTTGACTTAATAAAAAGTTAAAAGGATGTGAAAAATGTTGCACTGTTTTAAGAGGTAATCAGAGCAAGACATTGATAGAAGAAAAACCCAACACTTTTTTTTACAAATTTGTATCGACAGTAAATATTTGGATTAGATCAATCAACTCCAAGTAGAACCACTCAGAGTTTACCACAGCATAACATGTATGAAAAACCATCAGGGGAGCACAGATTTGACGAGTCACGATGACAACAGGAAACAGGAAGTGCCGATTTCACACCACTGGAACTAGAGACATTAATGCGGAAAATAAGTTGGGATTTAATTTTGGACACTCTAAAGTCAAATGTACGAGAAGGGGATGGTAGAGATATATTTACTTGGAGATAGGCAGATAGGGTACAAAGTACTGTGATGGTCTTAGTTCTGGAAAAGCTTAGAATGCAGGAAATATCACTTAGATATGTCACAGCTCTATGTTACAGCACTAAATTGAACATGAAATGAGTACTCTTGCAAGGCTTATTATAAATACTTGTAATTGTTATTTAAGAAAACCTTAATAATGAACGAGCATACACAATAGGTGTTTGAAAATCATCAGTGAGCTGAAGAAGCGCTGCTCAATTCAGTTCTGACACAACTAGGCCTAGACTGGAGCCATTCATGAGATGACTTATAGGACAATTGTCTCTTTAATAAGAGGGCTCTTCTTCATCCTCATGTTGCTTCTTTTTGTGGCTTTAATTTCTGAAATGTAACAGCAAGAAGAAGCGATCTCTCAGAGCTATCACAGAGCTCTTACATTCTGATAACAACTGAGTTACTTCTTACATGACTTCAGTTAACCATATCAATCAGTGCAGCATCCTTTAATCTTATTTTATCATGACCAGAAAAAATATATATTTTGTAGCCTATCAAATTTTTAAAACAGTGATTCATAAACATTGAACCTGTTGTTTCCCGCTTCATCTGGGACCGGGTTGTCGGGACATCAGACTCCCAGACTTCCCTCTCTGCAGTGACCTGCTCCAGCTCTGCTAGGGAGAGCCTGAGGTGCTCCCTGGCCAACTGAGAGCCATAGTCTCTCCATTGTGTCCTCAGTAATCCCTTGCACCTCCTCCCCGTGGGACTTGCTTGGAAAAGATCTGAAAATATGAAAAAAAGTCCGAGCTTCCTCAGCTGACTCTGAGAAACAGATCTACTCTGTGCTTCTCATGAATAATTGACCTCCTCACCCTATGTCTAAGCGTGTGCCCAGCCACCCTGTGGAGAAAACTAATTTCAACCTCTGGTATCCAGCATCACGTTCTTTCTGTCATGATCCATGTTTCATGACCATACTTGGGCGTAGAAACGTAGAGCGACCAGTGAATCGAGAGCTTTGCCTTTTTGCTCAGCTCTTCCTTCACATGACAGAGCAGTGCAGGATCTGCATTATAGCAGCAACCGATCCATCTATTGGTCTCATGCTCCACCAGGACCGCCAACTCCTTCACTCAAGGCAGGAACTCTCCTCCGAACCTGAACGGCACAAGCCACTTTTTTCCTATCAGGAACCATGGCCTCGGATTTGATGAAGCTGATTCTCATCCTGCTTCACACTCTTCAAGCAGGTTGCCTCAGTGCATGCTGTCGATCTTGGTGGGAGGCAGCTAGCTTAACCTGCATAAAGCAGGGATGAGATCCACTTGTTCCCAAACCACACCCCCTCTGGCCCTTGGCTGTACGTAGAAATTATGTCCATAAAAGTTATGAGCAGGATCGGTGACAGAGGGTAACCAAGTAACACTCCAACATGCACAGGGAATAAGTCAGAGTTAATGTCTGCAACACGGACCAAATTCCTG